GCTGGGATGGACAGGAACAGGAATTCAAGCTGCCCCGAGGCCCACCCCCAGCAGCGCAGCCCGAGCTCGGCTCATGGCCCCTGGCTTCCGGCTCCCCTAAGCAGCGCTCCGAAGACGCGCCGCCCATCCGACACGGGCTCTGCAGCCTAGCAATGGGCGGACACGACCCAGCGCCTGGGAGGTGAAGCTGGACAAATTCAGACAGGAAACGGGCACAGATTTGTAACAGGAGGGGAAGGAACCATTGGAACAATTTCCCGAGGGCCGCGGCGGGTTCTCCGGCACTGGAGCTGTTGAAATCAAGCTGGGCTGTTTTTCGGAAAGCTCCTATTCACACGGGAGCGAATTCAGGCAAGGCCCGTGTTCTGCGGGAGGTCGGACCAGCTGCTCCCAACGGTCCCTGCCGGCCTGAGACTCCCCCCAGTGAGAGAACACACAACGCTGGCCCCTGGCCCCGCGGCATTTATACAGGCCGGGCTCACTGGGACCTGCACTCAGGATTTTATCAGCAGCCCAACGAGAGCTGGTGTTTTTCCTGACAAAGCTCCACCTCCTGGAGTCCCGGGATTCCACAAAATCCTCACCTTTCATTGAAAATACAAGTGTCCAGCCCTGCAGGCTGTGGAGAAAAGGTGAATCCCCGGCCCCAAGTGCTCGGTATACGCCATGGTCTCGGACTACTCAGGGCCGGCATTAGCGAGGCTCCCGCCGCCTGCCCTGGCTTCCAGAGGAACCTTCTGCCTCGGACAGAAACCTCCAAGCGCTCGCTCCTCGCGGGAAATTAACAGCCCAGCTGCGGGGGGTTTTCACCTAAATCAAGGAGCTTGCAAGTTTTCAAGCAAACTAATCCCGTGGTGGGCACAGAGATGGGAGCTGCTGCGGTGCAGAGAGCAGGGTTCAGAGAATAAGGCTGGAAGGGACAATTAGACTATCTAGTCTGACCTCCTCTCCAGCCCAGACACCCAGCTCTCCCTGCATCGAGCCCCTCCGGGAAGGCGTCCGGTCCCGAGCAATGCTCTAGGGGCCAGAGACCGAACTCCAGCAAGGCAGGAGCAAAGCCCTCATGCCCTGCGCTACGTACTGCCTCTGGGCACATCCTCACGCAGTCACAACCTAGACCGGGCCCTGGAGGCTCCCCCCGGTGCCCAGCCCAGCTCCCGGGGACTAGTGCAAGGAGGGAGTTTTGAACCCCACCAGTCACTGACCTGAGAACATTTCCCCTTGGGCGGTGTAGCCTCTCTCCAGCGCCACCTGCACGATCCTCTCCAGGGAGACGTCCTGGGACAGACTGAGGAGGGAGCCCGCCATCCACAGCGCCACCAGCCCGCACCTAGCGGGGGAGAGAAGAGACATTGCAGGGAGCCTGGGTCCCACGGGCTGAGCTCGGCCAGTCCCCCTCCCAGGGCGCTGGGTTCAGAGACGGGAGTTTCTCTGCCAGCCTTGGAACGCTTCCTTGGGTTCCTGTGTCCTTAGGCCTCCCCCTGCAGCCTGGGGCGCGGGTCACCGGCTGGGCTCATCTGGGCACGTCTCACTCAGTCGATTCCCTGCCATCACAGGGGCCTGGGGCAGCGGCGGCACCTCGGTAGCTCCTGTTCCCTGCCTGGGCTCACCAGAGCTTAGCCCCGAGGACTGAAATGCTTTGCTCGAACTCAACTCGCTGGGCTCACACGTCGGTACATCCAGGAGATCAGGTGACATGAGCGAACGGGCCGTCTGGCCACAGATGCTAGCTCCAGCAAGGCCTTCATTCCTCCAGGGGAGGGTATGGCTCGCTGAGGCTATGCCCCTCCCCCTCCCCCAGGCTGGAGTTCGGGGGAGCTCCGCTTTGCCTGGGGGCACCTGTTTAAGATGGAAAAGGCCAGGTGTGGGGTTTTTAAAGGCAGATCCCGAGTCGGACGTTAGGTTTAGACCAACTCGTCTGCCCTTGTGCTACCTGCTCACGATCCTTTTCCCTCTGACGCAGTGAGTAACGTTCCCCCGGACCTTTGTGCGCTTGCCCGTAAACATCCGCACGGCTCCCTCCTCGGCCTCCTGCGCCCGCTGGGAAACGCTCCTTTGCCGGGAAGCCTCCAACAGACTTCCCAGCGGTTAGGCCGCTGGTGGGCGGAGATCCCTGCCCGCCACGCCGAGTGGTACAGCCTCCTTGATTCCCGCGCTCCCTGTCCGTCTGCATCGGTCGGCTCTTCTCTTAGATCTCTGGGGCGGGGACTGTCTTTTGGGAGGTTTATACAGGACCTGGCCCAATGGGGGCTGGGTCCATGGTTGGGCTGCCAAGGTGCTACCGTAATACAGCAGCTGGCCTAGGCTGGCCACGCCTATGCTCCCCCGATGCCCAGGCACAAAAGAGCTCTTGGCAAGTGCTTGGGAGGGATCAAGCAGGGGAAGCTGTAGATGCATGGGACTGAGACCCCTGCCCCAGCCCCCTGGGTGGCCCCAGCCCCCGGGGTAAAGCTGCCTCCGGCTGCGTTTGCCCTGACAGAGAGGAAGCGGTTGCAATACTCACTGAGGCCCCTCTTGGATTAAGGAAGGCACCGCCCTGTTGTAGAGGAGCCACTTGAAATGCCCGCTAAAGCTGGAAGACAGAACCAAGCAAACACTTACTGGCCATTTGCCGTCCAGCCCCCGCCCGCCAGCACTTCCTCCTCTGCACAATGAATGAGACGCTCTCTTTAAGCAGAGGGCTGACTTCAGCTGCCTCTGGGACTGCGGCTACCTCTGGGCTGTCTGACGGCCACACGGCAATGCCCCACTATGGGACAGGAAGTGGCCCACGGCCCTGTACCCAGTTGTCCCTGCAGAGGGAATTTAGGGAGGCAAAATGGAATTAGCTCAGTTAAGGCCTGGCCAGGACACCTGGGTTCACCACACCTGGACGTTGAGGCAAAGAGCAGAGGCTAGGAACTAGGTTTTATGTTTCTTTTAAATTATGGGCACCTCCAGCAACACAGAGACCTCTACTGTCACCCTGAGGATTAGGGTCAGGGCTGATTGTGAGGGGAGAGCACCCCGTGCAGAGCCCCCAGCCCAGCGCCCCCTAGCACCGCCCTGGGGCCAGCCCTGCCTGCCAGGGGAGAGCGCCCCCTGCTGAGCCCCCAGCCCCATAGCACAGCGCCCCCTAGTGCCGCCCTGGGGCCAGCCCTGCTTGCCAGGGGAGAGCGTCCCCACTGCCCCCGCCCCATAGCACAGCACCCCCTAGCGCCGCCCTGGGGCCAGCCCTGCTTGCCAGGGGAGAGCGTCCCCACTGCCCCCGCCCCATAGCACAGCACCCCCTAGCGCCGCCCTGGGGCCAGCCCTGCTTGCCAGGGG